ACGGTATAAATTACAGGTGTTAATATTATATACATACCTTATACATGATAAGAATATATCCTTCAGTGTTTTAATGTGTTAATTTTGTCTCCTAACTTACAGAAGATGAAGGTCAAGTAATCGAGATGGTGTGTGTGTGTGTGTGTAATAACTAACTAACTAACAAGATATACACGCCCACTCGCTCATCTTCATTTACTATGGAAATTTATAATACAAGTTCCATTTTAAGAGAATCCGATCCGGCCTCCACGGTGTAGTTCCCGCCTGCCTTAGTCGATATCTTGTAGGCTTGACTGTGATGTAATGACTGTACGTGTGCGAGGTGGGAAGATGAGACCGCCTGGAGTACGTACACACACACACACACACACACACACACACACACACACACACACACACACACACACACAGGACTAATGAACCTTGCAAAAACTTTAAAAAAATTATTCATGTTCGTGGTGCAGAGTGAGTGTGGTAACCCGAGGGCCGGATCAAGGTCTGGACCGGATGCAACAAGTCTCATCGTTGTATTTAATCGGTGTGACGGCCGTATATGGCTGATGGGGGCAGTACCAATATTAACAGCGAATTAATGTTTTACTTAAAATAATATTATAGATTTTTTTTCTTCCATTCTTTCCTAATTTATTGAAATATGTATACACGAGTTTATTTATATACGTATACATGAGTGTTTACTAATTCATACATACATGAGGGTGTTTAATGATTTATATACATGACAGTATTTAATGTAATCCAGGTATCTATTCACTAACATTACCAGATTATTTTAGTTCAATCGAGTATCTAATTTTTTTTTAATTTATCGTTTAGTTTATTTATTTCGTCCGGATATCGTGCGAGTCTAATTCTATAATCTCTTAAATTAAACACCAGAGTTTATTTACACCATCCGGATATCGGAAGGCGTTCTTATACGAGGCCCCGGTACTAACACAGGAGGGATGGGCAGGTGTTGGTGCAGAGGAAAACTGACCGAGAGAGGGCGCGACATAGTTGACTGGGAGACCGGATATGGCAACAACCTACACGCTGGTGGTGGAGGGGGAGGGGGGGAGGGGGTAGGGAAGGGAGGGGGTAGGTGGAGGAGGGGGGCAGGAGGAGGAGGAGGAGGAGGAGGAGGAGGAGGGAGGAGGAGGAGGAGGGCAGGGAGGAGGAGGGACAGGAGGGGGGAGAGGAGGAGTGCCGGTGTGGGAAGTGGTTTAGGTGAGGCTGGCAAGAGGAGAGAGGGGGGCTTGTCCAGGTGGGATTTTGTCCTTGTGGGATTTTGTCTAATTTAGATTCTATCCTCGTGGGATTTGTACCAGTGTGTGTGTGTTTTTTCCCCCGGGATATTATTTAACTGAAAAGGTTTTGTCCTGGTCTAGGCTGAGGGTTACCAGACAAAGAACCTAACTATTATTATGTTCCCCGCTAGATTTGATTCGACGAGGAGGAGGGGAGAGGGGTTCTATCCTTGTCCAAATTCTGTCTTGGTGAGGAACATTGTGCCAGTCAAGTGTCGCCCCCATCACATACCACCACCATCATCATCAACACCACCACCATACCAACACCACCACCATACCAACACCACCACCATACCAACACCACCACCATACCAACACCACCACCATACCAACACCACCACCATACCAACACCACCACCATACCAACACCACCACCACAGCCACTCGTGTCTTCTCCAGTAGGTCGTCATCTTAGGGCCATCAGCTGGACAATACCCTGAGTGTTGCAGGAGTGAAGAGCCTCAACACCGCAGAGTCTGGTTCAGCATTAATCAGTCCACTTGTTCTTAGTATTTTATTGGAACACTCTCAAGATGTTTATTTCTGACACGTAATCCTGGCTTAAGTTGATCTATGATGATGATGGTAAGACTCAGCTACCGTCTGAGTGTAACAATGGCCTGAGATACATTTGGTGTCGTGAACGTAACATAAATGGTCTGTTCAATACTTTAAATAAGATTAAAAAAAATTATTTGCTGGACATAATCCCTTAATCCTCTAAAAGATTTGCTAAATTTTATATAAATAATCCCGACTCGTTCCACACAAATAGAATAATATAATCGGACACAAAAATGGCCGCCAGTCGACTGTTTTGAATGAAAAAAGAAATCGTAAACATTATCTTTCTATTTTTTGGCCAAATTACACGAATCTCTTAACACACACAATTCTTATCCACAGAAAGTTCGAATGACAGACAAATTTACATATGAATGATCAAAAGGTAATCTTATGGTCCTCGATATAAGAATGGAAAATAAAGATATGCAAACACTATATTAATGTGTGTGTGTGTGTTGTGGTGGTTAGAAGCTGTAGTTACCATCACGAAGATGTAAAACGCCAGATAATCATTAAGCTGCAGGTAAGGAGGTGTTAGCTTGAGACAGGTCATTAGTGCCGTGAACACAGGTGAGTCATTAGTCAGCCCGAAGTCTCTCTCTCTCTCTCGACGGGTGGGAGAGGAAGGGTGTACGTAGGAGGGTGTGGCTTCAGGTAAACACACTCAACACTGTCCTGTCCGCCGCCTCATCAACAAGCAGGAGGAATGTCCGCTCTTACACCACGACACACCCCGAGCTGCCCTGCCTCACACTCATCCGGCAGGTGCAGTCTACAACAGGTGAGGGTGAGTATTTATCCCCAACATACACGAGACTAACCTACATCATACAGTAGAATGAATGAAGTTTATAGCAGAGAAAGTTGTACAATATTAAGCCAGCGTACTTCACACTGCCCTGGGGAGGTGGTTCATGTAGCAGGTATAGAGGCCGGGCAGGAAGACGGGGGCGTGGATAGCAGGAACATGAGGGTGTGGTCCAGAGGCAGACTACCGTGCACCTGCTCACCTGTCCGGCTTCTCCACCCAGATGAGGGAGGGAGGAGGGACTTTTGCGGCACCACTACCACACCTCCTGTCTCCCCATACCTCTTATTGTCACGTAGCTCACCACCACGTACCACCACAACTAACCACACCACAACCGCAAAACAAAACACATTCAACTAATCTTTATTGATTCTATTTACTCTCAGGATAACATGAACCACGAGAAGAGGTTTCAGACCCTGGCGCTGTGTAAGTGACCTTGACCTCAGATTGGACCTTGACCTCTTACACTGACGAGTATTTGTTGCTCTAACTGCGATGAAAACATATCTGAGTATTTTTATGAAGAGTTGGATGTATCGATGCAAGAATTGAATGCCTGAAAAAATTAATATTGACGTTTGACTTAAGCTGACCTTCTACACACACACACACACACACACCAACGATTCACCCACAAATAATATGTAAACACGATATAAAATACAGAGTTAATCCGTATCACTAAACCAAAAATTTCTCCCCATCAACAGAATTGGAATGTTATCAAATGTGTACCTGTGCGTGTACCTATGTTATTACTGGATTACGGTGTGAGTGTGTGTGTGTGTGTGTGTGTGTGTGTGTGTGTGTGTGTGTGTGGATTTTGAATTGTTATGCTTGCACATGCACACCTGTACTTGTACACCTGTTGTTTATATAATTACTAATCTAGAATACCACTAACAACGTCCACACGACAGCTGGTGAGTCTAACCAAGAAACACGACCATAATAAACTAACAATATATTTCACAGCTCGAGTACAGGCTACAGGGGTGTGCCAGGGGTGCAGGGAGGTGTCAGGGAGGTGTCAGGGTGGGGGTGGCTGGGGGTGCCAGGGGGTGTAGGGAGGTGCCAGGTGGTGTAGGGGGGTGCCAGGTGGTGTAGGGAGGTGCCAGGTGGTGGTGTGGTGGGGGGGTGGGTGGTGGGATGCCAGGTGGTGTGGGGGTCCCAGGTGGTGTAGGGGGTGCCAGTCGGTGGTACGGGGTGCCAGTGGGTGTAGGGAGGTGCAGGGGTGTAGGGAAGGCTAGGGGTGTAGGGAGGTGCCAGTGGGTGTATGAAGGTGCTAGGGGGGTAGAAGGTGCCAGGGATGGAGAGAAATTGTGGACCAACGAGAAGTTTGTGTAAGGACTAGGACTGACGACTTCACATCTCGTGTTAACTTATTGTGGTGATGATGAGGAGGCCTGCACTATACCACACAACATACTTCATTACACCACACTGTATAAACCACACACACACACACACACACACACACACACGTAAAGAAGAATTTGTTACGGACGGACGGACAGACAGACTTACAGTGACATACAACAGCTGGACTCTCCCCATCCAGCCGTTATTCTCCCTCCTATTCCTACCCTCTTACTTCCCCAACCCATCCTACAAGCAATACGTAACTGAACGAAGTACACTGA